TGGATAAGCGAGCCTATGGTCCACCCAAAAACGCCTCAGAAAAGGCCCTGTTTTAAACAGGTCCAGTGCCCTCAGCTCAAAGCACGAGAGTCAGTCCTTCATACACTGTAAAAAAAAGTACTGTTGCATCCCACCCACCCCATCTTTGAGGATATGTCCAAAGAACTCAAAGCAGGATCATGAAGAGATATTTGCATACCCACCACGTTCACGGCAGCTCGATTCGCAACAGCCATGAGACAGAAGGAACCCAAATGTCCATCAACAGATGAATGGATAAAGGAAATGTGGCATGCACATAAAATGGAATACTGTGCAGCTTTTAAAAAAAAAGAAGGAAATCGTGTCGCATGCTATAACATGGGTGAACCTCAAGGGCAATGTTAGGCGAAATAACAATAATGTATGACTCCACATATATGAAGTACCTAAAGTAGTCAAAGTCATGGGAACAGAAAAGCAAAAGGTGGTTACTAGGGCTGGGAGAAAGGAGGGGGGGAATTAATGTTGAGTGGGGCTAGGGTTTCAGTGTTGCAAGATGAGCAAGTTCTAGAGATCTGTTGCACAACAATGTGAATCTACGTAACACTACTGAACTGTACACTGAAAAATGGTTAAGATGGTAAATTTAATGTTCTGTGTTTTGTACTGTAATAAACAAAAAAATGTATTGCTGCAAATAGTGGTGCAAATACAAGTCCATCAGGCCTTTCTTCCTTTATCCCCTACTCCCACTACTTCCTCTTCTCACATCTAACAATATACCCTCTTGGCCCAATGTTCCCCCCCCTACACACACACCATCTTCCTTGGCACATACCTCCATGCCCTCATACCAGCTGGCTTGTGATTAAAATGGACCAAGCTAGGAAGTGCCAGAGAGAGCGTGGCCTATTGTATCGAATTTCCTTGGCCTTTTATAGGGCTGCACCGTGAACCCAGCAAATGCAGGGCAGTGGCCTGAGAGTCAGGAGGCCTGCGCTGCTCTAAACCTGACTTACTTACCCATCAGCTGCAGCAAGCCGGTTAGCCTCTGGACCTCCTCTCTAGAAAAACAGGTTGGCCCCGCTGATCTCTAAGGTCTTTCAGCTCGGAAAGCCTAAAAGTTCCCTGATTTGACTGAAAAAGAAACTGGGGAAAATTTAGAAGCCTGCTAATCTGAATCTTCTAAAGTGATTCCTCAAGCCCCTTTGCTGTATCTTTGACTCAATTCCTTTTTTTGTTTTATTTTGTTTTGGTCTGGTTAGACATAAAAACAGTTTTTGAAAATTTTATCAAAATAATAAAACATTATTATTGTACCACAATTCTACTGATCACCATTTTTGGACAGACGCCCAGGGCGTGCTATTCGCCTCCCTGAGACAGCAGTGTGGCCCCAGCAGATATTTTGTGCAAACGAGTGGATGAAGGCGTTGTCACCCTGAGGTGCACAGGGACAGACAGAGGAAGGGGCACTGACCTCGTCCCATGCCTCACTTCAAATCAGCTAACATTACTAAGAAACATTTCTGTGCTGGGTGCCAAGCTAGGTACTAGGGCACAAAGTTAATCACCGTTAAACCCAAGGAGCTCAGAGTCCATTAGGAGAAACCCAGAGAGTCTCCCAGTTAGTAGCAATATAGCAAGAGATTTTCTTCTGCTAAGAAAGCCAACCAGTACAGAGGGCAGGAGCAGGGGGACCAGGAAGTTACATGACTAGGTTTGTTTTCTGGATAGCCCTCCCTGACTAAAGCGCCGTGCCAAGGCTGACGGAGGACTGTGTCTGCTGGGCCATAACCACTTTCCGCTGCAACTTGGCTGAACTTAAAACCGAACAGGTGACTTGAAGGTGAAGGCTGATGATGGAAAAGACAGCCTCTTCCTTCCTCCTGTGACCAGCAGTCAGCCACTCACTCCTCTGAGAGAAAAAAAAAAAAATCATTGGTCTTTTTATACAGTTAGTTGTCCCTGTCCTTACATTTAAACCCCAAATGGTCAGGAATGGAAGCATTTAAACTCTCATGAGGAGAGTGCCAAGATACATGAGGGGCAGTCCCGTGCAGAGAAACAGTGGGGCTCAGTGATAGTGTGAGTGACCCTGACCTGGTCAACCGGTCTTCTACTGTAAAATGCGTGTCTGATAATAACTTAATGTAGGTGATGGGAGGGGACATGCTTATAAAGCGCAAGCGCAAAAGAAATATAAAGGCCAGTACCAGGCCTTCACTGGCAACCACCACCAGATAGGCAATGCACACAAAAGTGTCACAGATTGCCTGACTCAGAAACTTTCACCTTGGAAATTCCACCTAAATCATATACTACTCTTTTCTACTAGGACAGACACTGCTCAGAAGTAAACAAAGTCCTTCCATCTATGGCTGCCTCTGGTCAGGCTCCTCTGCTCCATCACCCCAGCTGCTAAGGAACTTCCTGCCTGCTGACCAGCTGCGTGTAAGGAATGACAGCAAAGTGAGGAAGGTTTCAGGAGTAGAGAGGAAGAGTGAGGGAAATCTCTCCACATACAGAGAGCTTCCTGAGTCACATGTCTTCAGTGCATCAGATTCATCCTTGAAAGCTTCTGACATCCATTCTCCGCTCCACAGAAAAGTTTATTGTTTGCTGGACTCGAGACGCAATCCCAGGACTTGCTTGTGGGTTACCAGCAAACATTTTTTTTTATCCAGTCACTGTACCACATCCCAAGGACTAAATGAAACACTGCACACATCACCAGAACATTTTCAGATGACCTGGAATAATCCCAGTCCTTGACCTCTAGCACTTATTATTGGAACATTGTGAATTAAACAAACTCCACGGAAAAATACACTTCATATATGTGTACCTAAACAGATACACAGTCTAAACAAACAATCTGCATACTGCTTCTATAAAGAACAATTGGATACTTTTATTACTAGTGAAGAACATTAAATTTATTTTAATTACACGGAAATACGTGGTCATGAAAAGAGGCACCTAAAAGGAACTGAGAGAGTAAGAAATAAGGTGGTGGGGGGAGGGGGGAATGAGACGTAAACTACAGCTGTAATTTTTATATCACATTTACGAGAGTTTTGTCTGGGTTTGAGATTGGTTCTGCATGTGTGTGTATGGAAAGGAGCCGCTGCACTTTTTTCCCACTAGGATACAATGAACTTGGTAGCACTTCTGCCTGCAGCACACAAACATAAGCCCATCAGAATCATGGGGAGATGCGGTCTCTTTAGAAAAGGAATCAAAAGAAATCGCAGTAAGGGTTACTTTTTTGTTGTTTTCACCCTAAAATTACGGCCCCATAGTTGGTCCAGGCTTTCCTTATGTCAGATTTATTGCCAAGCTAAATACAACCTACTGATTTAATACCCTATTTATTTAGTTACCTCTGTTTGTGTTATTAAATGTCAAATAAATTAGATTATCCGTACCGTAGGATTTTCCTGAACTTGCTGAAGAGTCTAATTTATACAGCAAAAGAAACTGGTTCTGAAGCCTCAAAGGACCCTAAATTCTTTACTCTGACACCCCCTTCACCGAAGAAGTTATCACTACCCCCCCAGATATGTTCAAACACAGAAGCCCAAGAGTTCCACTGGGCATTTTTGTGAGGCAAAAACAAAGAAACCCAACCCACCTTTTCAGTTCACATAAGCCCTACTTCAAACCCATGAAAATCTTTCCTGATATGAACACTAAAATCTGAGTAGACGTATGAAAACCTAATAAGAAAATATGCTAAAAATAGTTTCCCCTAAACAGATCCTAATGGAAAGGCAGTGTTAAAACAGGAAAGGTTTCTCTGATTCCCCACAGAAGAAGAAACAGGTTATTTGTTCATTGTTTCTGCAGTATCCACTCAATGAACACATACTAAATGGGGCAAACCAAAAACAAACAAACTTCAGCAGCTTCAGCGTCTCACAGAAGCAGAAGGGTTTTCTGCCTGGGTACTGATGGAACAGTGAAATGAATAAAGTCCACAAGAAATGCAGCAATGGGGAAAATAATTGGGGAAGATGGACAAATCATTCTGTCTCCTCACAGTGGCAAACTTTACAACAACTTTTAAGAAGCAACAAACCACAGCACCACCAACCGATCTGTCTATCTGTCTGTCTGTCTATATGCACACACAAAACTACTTGGAAGCCAAGTACGGTGTTTGCAAGTATCCACCATTCTGCATTTACAATACTGCACAACATGGCCAGATCGCCGGCAGATTCCTACTCTTAGATATCCTCTCTGCACTGTCAAACAGAGAAGGTCATTTTGCCTGGTCACTTAGATAATTCCCTCTCTCCCTGCATCACAGGAGTTTTCTACTTTGGGATTGCTCAACTTTCATATGCATCGGAGTAAAATAACCATTCAGCAACTTTATTCACCTTGGTTTAAAAAAAAAAAAAAAGACATTCATTGTGCAATGCCCAGGAAAAGCTGACACCAGGACTGTCTCTCCGACAAGCACTTGCAATTATCATCAGAGGAGAGGGGGGGAAAATCCGTCTGATCAGACCCAGAGAGTGCTTTAAAAAAAAGAAATGATTCCTCCCCAATGGGGGCTGGAGAACTTTTTTTCCGAGGAGACCACCCCTGGGGAACAAAAGTTACATTGCAGTCACATGTTGGTAGTAGGAGTAGGGAGCAGGGGGGGTTTTTTTTTTTTTGTTTTTTTTTGTTTTTTTTAAAGCGCACTAATTACGGGGGTGTTTTACAATTCTAGAGACCACTCCGGCTCCTCCTGACCAATTGTGACGGGCATTTCATTGTCAAAAAGAAAGGGGGTGGGGTGGAAGCGAAGGAGCCGATAGGGGTTCGACGGGGGGAGTAGCAAGGTTACACTAAAGGGTACAGCAGCAGCCGCGAGCCGCATCTCCTTTCCTGGCACCCCAAATAATTTACTGCGAACAGAGCAACTGCAACAGCCCCCTCGGAAGAGCCCAGCACCACTGCCCTGGCGGGTGCAGCTCAAGGATTTCGACCACGGAGAGGGAGGGGGAGGAGATCTTTACCTTAATGCTACACTGAGCAGGAGTCTCAGACATGTCTCACAGCGAGAGAGATCAGGAAGTTCTCAGTTTTTTTCCACTTTCCTTTCCTCTCCCCAACCCAGAAATGCTCCACGGCTAGCCGGACGCGGTCATTTAAGAAGTTTCTTCCAGCATCTCTCCCGGCAGCCGCCCCGGGGGTCTGCGAGCGCGCGGGGCGGGCGGGGCGGCCGGCGGAGTTGCGTGCGCAGGGCGGCGGGGGCGTGGGAGCCGGGCCGGAGCGCGGCGGCAGGGTCTGCAGGTGGCGCAACCCACCCGCCGCAGCGCGGCCCCCGCGCGGACGCCCGCCCTCGCCGCCCCTCTGCCAGCCGCGCGGTCGGGCTTCCTCGGCTGAGCCA